CACACCTTACAGCGGTCAAATCCCTTGTACAGGCTGTATCGGCTATAGAGTGACCGGATAAAAGAATATATCGGCTACAGTGATATTGGTACGAAATATCAAAAGCATAACGTATTTTACCCAGTACAAATATCACTATAACCAATATTATCAGATGTAATGATATATCGGATATTATGATGGCAACAAAGAATCAAAACATGCATAACACACTATATTAGTATCGGCTATAGTGATAACTACAAAATGCATGTAGCAATAATATCAAAGGCCCTATTTTTTACTTTCTTCACGTTGCTTATTTTTATAGTGATACATGTACATAACAGAATTTTTTTATGGAAATGCGGGCACTGTCAACTATGCAGCATGCTCATTTGTCAAAATGGAAGTATTTCCTTGCCTTTCATGTGTCGATCGAAATAAAAAATAAAAGTCGATCGTATCGCATATAGTGATGCATCGGATATAGTGATAATATCACGGAAATCAAAAGGGTACTCTATAGCCGATACAGACTGTATACAGAGAGCCCTGATGTCGTACGTACTCATGATGTCATGACGACTTAATCATGATGCATGCCGACTGCAGTATGGAAAACTGGTTTACTGAAATTTTCGCTCTACCGGACGGTTGATTTTGGCAAATACGGAATATATCACGCCGCCGAAAATTCCCCCTTTTACAGTGCACCTGACTTACGTGTGCAGGATGAAATCGTGTGAACTCCAGTACAGACAGGCTGAGGATCCCGGTACTCATACCCAGGCTTACAGGTCACCATGCCTTCCGGGGAGACGGCGACAATATTATCATTTGAAGTGTGATTGCATTCTGGAAGAGAGAGAAAACAAAGAGGAAAACGGGGAGAGAAGGGACATGTCGTATTAGAGAGAACATACCATGCCTACCCACAGCCGACTCTCTGGTATACAGAAAACCATGCATAAGGCCCTACTCATGATGTCACGATGCCCTGCTCATGATGTCATGATGCCCTACTCCTGATGTCATGATGCTCTACACCTGATGTCATGACTCATGATGCAGTACTCATGCCATGATGCCCTACTCATGATGTCATGATGCCCTGCTCATGATGTCATGATGCCCTACTCCTGATGTCATGATGCTCTACACCTGATGTCATGACTCATGATGCAGTACTCATGCCATGATGCCCTACTCATGATGTCATGATGCCCTACTCATGATGTCATGATGCCCTACTCCTGATGTCATGGTGCCCTGCTAATGATGTCATGATGCCCTACTCATGATGTCATGATGCCCTGCGCATGATGTCATTGTATTGTATTGTATTGCTTTTATTTTACATCGCAACTTCGCAAGTCAAACGGGCAATCATGCCCAATGTTATGATGACGATGGAAAGGGAGAAAAGGATTAAGAACAAGATTAGTTATCCTGGATTATGGGGAGTGAAGAAAACGATGAATCTAGGAATCTCTCCTTAGATCATCAACATTGGCCATGAAAGTAGACTTTCAATGGACGCGGGCTCGCTTTCTCACATACTTACTCTCTTTTTCTGTCTGTCTCTCCATCTCTCTTTCTGTGTGTGTGTGTCTCTCTCACTCTCTGTTGCGGACGTACACTGTATCTCTCTTTGTCTATCTCTGTGTCTCTCTTTGTCTGTCAGTTTCTCTCTCTCTCTCTCTCTCTCTCTCTCTCTCTCTCTCTCTCTCTCTCTCTCTCTCTCTCTCTCTCTCTCTCTCTCTCTCTCTCTCTCTCTCTCTCTCTCTCTCTCTCTCTATCTCTCTATCTCTCTCTCTCTCTCTCTCTCTCTCTCTCTCTCTCTCTCTCTCTCTCTCTCTCTCTCTCTCTCTCTCTCTCTCTCTCTCTCTCTCTCTCTCTCTCTCTCTCTCTCTCTCTCTCTCTCTCTCTCTCTCTCTCTCTCTCTCTCTCTCTCTCTCTCTAACACACAGGCACAAGCTCTTTCTCTCTTTCAGTTTCTCTTCTTTTGTTGCTTTCTCATGAACACTAGCACACACACACACTCTCAACATTGATCACTTATTCCCATCATGCATTTTTGGGTTTCGTTGTGATAGAATATTGTACTACTAGTACTACTGATGTACAACACTATTCTCATGCAACTGGAGGGTATATATTCGGGTGCTATTTGTTGTTGTGGCTAAGAGTGCATGTGTGCGGCCAGCTAGTTCCAGCATGCAAGGTGTTACATTTGCTACACTGTGGTCTTACAAGCACAGAGAACCATATGTTCTAACTTTCCTTGATACAACTATGAACCGAAGCACAACTGCTGCAAACATTAACTGCCCATTTAGGCAAGATAGCAACAACTAAAAGTAGAAGAAGTAAGTAAGACTAGCGTCCTTCCAGCTCCAGGACAGTATGAACAGGCAACAACATAAATTTTAACAGCATTGCATCGTACATGCATGTAGCAATGCAGAAATAATTGTACATTTAGATGTGAATGCAAATCCAAGGCGGAAAGCAGTCAGGCGTAATAGATGCCAGCAATAGAAACCAGATCTGTGACGCATGTCACATGCATTCATGATGATCAATGCATCGTGGTTCATCACCATTGAACACAGTAGTACATGTAAATTACACAGAAATAGGAGATTAAATCTAACATATCTCCCTCGTGAAAGAAAAGTGATAAATATCACATGAGTGAGTAAAAGACGAAGACAACAAGAAGAAAAACATGACAAAAACAATGGCAATTGAATATGAAAACTTGAATATGAAAACTCGGATGGAAGAAAAGGACCAAGGACCTACAAGACGTGCTAGAGCTGATAGCCAGTTTGTTGTAGAACGTCAGTACTGTCGGTCAGTTTGGTGCAATGTTATAATTATTGTTATTGCATGAGCTGATTGTCAAGTACAGTGGATATCGGTTATAAAGTCATCGGACATAGTGATAAACCGGCTATATTGATACAAAATGAAAATATCAAAAGCAAAACTAGAAAAAGCCAGTCAAATTATCATTATAACCAATATATCGTATATAGCGATAAATCGGCTATAAGGATACAGAATCACCATTCAAAACACCTCTTTGTGCAGAAAAATTATCGTCTATAGTGATAGCAACACACGAGTGTGAGGCATTGATGTCTCGACTTGGAGCCACATGTGTGTTGTCGTAGTGTATTCTGGTCTAATGCTTCCTGGATGATGCCTTTGGGCCAAGAAGTTCTTCACTCTAGACCGGAGAAGGTGCAGTAGTATCCATCACGTATCAGTACGCTACATTAGCGCGATCGAGTACCCACACGAGTATAATGTGTATGTATGACGCGGGCAGTTGAAAATCGCCTGTAGTGATATACCGGTTATAGTGATTAAAAATGTGAAAAATCAGAAGGGCACGTTATAACCAATATCTACTGTAACTGGTGGTGTTAGTGGACAGCATAGCATAACGTGTTGTTCTTTGGTCTTTGTTTCTTTACTATGAATATGAAAACAATCACAGTTCGCTCAGTACTTGCACCTTTAACTTCGAGTGGCTCAAGATGATGAACTGCATGCTTGTGTACCTTCCCAGCTACTTAAACTTCTAATATCCGAACAGCACCATCCTTACCTAGATAGGTCATAAGCACATGTCCAAGTGGCTAGTGTGCAGTTGCGGTGTGCTTATCCATCACAAGCACGATATCTCCTAGGGTGATGCTGTTGAAGCAACCACATCACTTGGATGCTTAGCTGGAACAATCTCTTTCAGCTAACGTTTCCATACCTGATCTACAATACGTTGCACAAACTCCCAGCGCTTTCTTGGGTGAGCTTGAGTCATTGTAGATGTGTTGGCTTCAGCAGCAATAGTTGCCCTAGCATGGCCAATGAGAAAGTGTTGTGGCAATAGCAGCTGAAGGTCTTCATGCAGCACTAGTTTCATTGCCTTGGCCATTACCTAGAACACACCACCAAAGTGTGGTGCACTTGGTGGCTTGAAGTACCAGGTAATGTCGCGGTATGACCTTTCTGCTGCTAGTCTGCAGTTGTCGAGAAACTTGACAGCTGCTTTTACCTCTTGATGAGCCACACGGAAATTGGTACCGTTGTCCGATTGCATCTCTTGTGGCACACCACGTCGCATGGTGAATCGGGGTCTAAGAGCCAGGAGAAAACCGTCGTTGTCCAGAGATAACCTCGAAATGACAAGCCCTAGTCAGCAGGCATGTAAACACACATACATATCTCTTTGAGTTGTGACCGATCTCGACCCTGGCGTGCATAGAAGGGGATGACATAGCCGACACTAATTATGGCAAATGACTGATGTGGTCCAGTTGTCTTGAAGTCGGGAAGTGGTGGCATTGCTGGTGTTGCTGTTTTGATATGGCCCTTGCGGCAAAGAACGCACTTGGCCCGATGCCTCCAGGTGGCCTGCATCACTGGAGAGAAGCCACTCACCCGGCACAAGCCTCCACAAGTGCTGTGTGCTCCTCATCGTGAAGTGATACCTTTCCCAGTGAACGTCAACAGGCGTGTTGATGTGTTCGATGACAAAGTGCAGTGGATCCATGCGTTGAGGGGGCTGGATCACTGGAGAGAAGCCGATCATCTTGCGAGAGCAGTAGCGAGTGCGTGTGCAGTTCAGCTCCTTCTCTGCATGATCAAGTTGCTGCAGACCTTGCAAGCTGATTCCATACACCACTGCCACAGGTTATGTCTGTCAGCTAGCTACAGCAACAATATCCTCTTCATGAATGTTCAAAACTATTTTCTTGGGTCAAAATCAGCTCTCCACTGTCTACAACACAGCATGATCGCATGTGCATGGACAGGATCCGACTGCGATGCAGCTCTCCTGGAAGGAAGCAAAGTTCTCCTGTCGCCAATGCCATCGCTTGTCAGTGTCACTCAAGAAAAATAAATTTCAATTTCAGAAGCTACGAATTCAACGCATTCCAGTCTGCTTCCACCAAGACTACTACAGGGCATCTGATTTGACAAGGTATATCAGTAGGACTTGGAAAAGTCACAGTAACAGTTAACAGTTTGCAAGATCACTAGCCATTACAACAAGTATCAGAACATCAAAACAAACCTCGTGTAGATCCACAATTTCAGATTCAACCCATCGATCTACAATTTTAGGTTCCCTTTCCCGCCAGCTGGACATGCATGCATGCATGCTCTCACCAGGCCGGGAGTCGTCAAATGCCCGGCGGTACTTGATGACTCCCTGGCTCTCACTTGTCAGCCAGCTCACACGTCTTGTCGTGCACGCGCAGACGTCCAGCACACACGCGTGTCGAAATGTGTTTTTTGGCGGGTAGTTGGCAAAAAATTAAGTGAGGGTCCCTTTAGTCCTTCGCCGTTCCAAGTGCACGTGGAGGAAGCGCGTGCAAAGGATGTGGTTGTTTTCGATAGTCGAAAGGAACTGATCATTTTGTTTGGTTGTATGGCTTCTTCAGAGCCAAGTGCACTCGAGGCTGCCGATGAGCATGCAAAATATGCTCAAAATGTTGAAATATGCTGAAAAAACCCAAAATGCGAAAAAAACTGAAAACCCCAAAAATGCGAAAAATATGCAAAACATTATCCGCACAGGCCTAATGATGACATCCTATTGAATGTCATCTGATGATGACATCATACTGAATGTCATCCGATGATGATATTACACAGAATGTCATCTGATGATGACATCATAATATTGAATGTCATCTGATGATGACATCACACTGAATGCCATCAGAAGATGCAGGAGTGGAGTGGAGTCGGGACCAACATGGCCGACAGCACGTGACCCACACATGCAGGGGTTGAGTGGAGTTTGAACCAGCATGGCTGTGCGGTATGATCATGAGAGAGAGAGAGAGAGAGAGAGAGAGAGAGAGAGAGAGAGAGAGAGAGACGTGAAACAAACAAAAACATCCTTCACGAATGAACGATGGAGTCGTTTCACTGCCCCTCTCTCGCATGATAATTGACTATCATGACATGTCTCTGACCTGTGCATTTGGGCTTTGCTGCCGTGGTGCTCTGCGCGATGCTGTTATCATTTCTCCATTGTCCAGATTTCTGGCAGGTCAGCACTGCTGGTCCACTCAAATGAAACCCAGGCTTGCACGTATAGGTTGCCTAGGTGAGCAGTAAAGAACAGGGCATGGTTGTCATGGTTATACGGTATTTAGTGCGTTTCTGCAAGTGTGGCAGGGATGCCGCTCTCGCTTATACCATTTTAAGAACATGATACATGCAATGAAGGGTAAGTAAGTGTGTGTGAGAGACAGAGAGAGGGGGGGGGGGAGAGAGAGAGAGAGAGAGAGAGAGAGAGAGAGAGAGAGAGAGAGAGAGAGAGAGAGAGAGAGAGAGGGAGAGATAGAGAGATAGTCCGTGTGTGTATGTGTGTGTGTGGGGGGGGGGGAGGGTGTGTGTGTGTATGTGTGTGTGTGTGAGAGAGAGTGAAAGAGAGAGAGAAAGAGAAAGAGAAAGAGAGAGAGAAAGAGAGAGAGAGAGAGAGAGAGAGAGAGAGAGAGAGAGAGGAGAGAGAGAGAGAGAGAGAGAGTGAGTGAGAGAGTGTGTGTGAGACAGAGAGAGAGAGAAAGAGAGAGAGAGAAAGGGGGGGGGGGGGAGAGGAAGAGGGAGATAGAGTGTGTGTGTGTGTGGGAGAGAGAGAGAGAGAGTTTGTGTGTGGGAGAGAGAGGGAGTGAATGGGGCTCGAACCCACGACCCTGAGATTAAGAGTCTCATACTCTAGGATTATCCCGGTCGGTCTGGACCGGATTATCCCGGTCAGTCTGGATTGGGGGTAGCAAAACAATGTGCGGTGCTTACCTGTTGCATGTATCGGTTTTCGTACTGTCGCTGGCCATTCTTGATAATCTGGGGAATGATGCATTGCGGTGCTGTGGAAAGAAAGAGAGGAGAGGAGGGTATCGCACATACATGTGTTGCAGTACGGTATTTTGTGTACGTGGTGTGTACGTGGTGTGTACGTGGTGTGTACGTGGTTTGTATGTGGTGTGTACGTGGTGTGTACGTGGTGTGTATGTGGTGTGTACGTTTTTTTCTTTTTTTCTCCACAACTCTTTATTGCACTCAGAAAAATAATAAGGCACCCATTTTGATAGTCCAGGGGATGGCCCACGCCTGGTAAAAAGAATAAACAGAAAAAGAAAAAAAAAGAAAAATAATAGGGCACCCATTTTGATAATCCAGGGGATGGCCCACGCCTGGTAAAAAGAATAAAAATAGAAAAGAATCATGACAAGTACATGACTAGACCTCTAGACAAAAATGTACATTACATGTCTGACTTTAGTTCAACAGTCCTGCAAGGAAACACGTGCCTCGGCTACTACTACAGACGCGGGGTCCCTGGTGACACGGTGTGCGGATGAGGATCTTGCCCCACGAAGGCACATCACGCTAGCTCGGACTAATGCAAAGCTTAGCTTGCAGCGAAGCCATGCCATCGTCACGGAGTACGGCTCCTTCAGCTTGTCAGATAGCATGCTGGCAAGACGCTTGAACAGGGCCGATGCACACTTGCTAGTGCCACCAGTGGTTGACAGCACTACTGGCACGAACGTGGCGCGGTCAACCTCAAGCAGACGCTGCTCATATCTCCGGCGTTTCTCCTTTTCATGGCGTGCATACACTGAGGAAACTGAGGCAGCGCGATTTGAGGCAGCGTAGGAGTTGAAAACCCTTATATCAAGAAAGGTGCGCTCAAATCGGCCACCCCAGATTCCGTTGGCGGCAACATCAAGACGGGCCTGATCAGCGGTCGTTGTGGACAGAAGCCGGAATTTCTCTCCGGTGACTGGCTGCAGCATCGGTTCTGTGCACACACCATGCGTGACCTGACGCAGAACATCAGCCGTGAGGTCTCGGATTTCATTGTGTCGAATACTGGGGAATCCCCCAGTACTGCAGGACAAGGCATGGGTGACGTCAAAGTTACCATGGCCACATACGCATCCTGATGGCAGGCGTGCTGGTGTCCACCCGTACCGGAGACAGAGGGCATCGCGAAACTCCGCCTTGGACAAACGAAATCCATGGATGGCTAGAGGGCGGCAAGTCAGCCAGCTAGAGGCCCCCTTCTCCGAAGCTAGGGTCAATTGCAGCTCAAGCTCTGCTCCAGCACCATCCTTGAAAGACTTCACGGCTGCCAGGAGGTTGGTTCGCAAAGTCGTACGTACCTCTGCCTTCATGCGGAGAACTTGCGCCGCGGTGCCATCTAGGGAGGAATCTTGGGCGATTAGTTTCTCCCACAGGGATGTCGTGATCTTGCGTGAATTGCGGTAGTTGCCGCCCATAGATGTCGGGTCGGTGATGCCAAGACCACCATGGCGACATGGGAAGGCCAGCAGTGCACGCTCCTGAGAAGACGGTGGCGCGTGGCCGGTCAGAGCTGGGATCAGGATGTCCCGAATCACGTCTTCAAGATGACCAAACAGTGCAGGGGCATCCTCAAGGGTTCTTGAGAGAAAGGACCACTGCGGCTGTAGTCCCTGAATGAAGGCACTGTAGGCTGCCTGAGGTTGAGTCGATGCAAATTCAGCCAGACGACGAATCTGCTGGACCCAGTCGGTGACCTTATTAGCAACGTACTCTTCCACAAAGGACGGCGTGCCAAGGGCTGCTCCTAGATGACGACAACCATCCTTCTCAATACGCACACCAGTACTGGCAAAAATCACAGTGGCTTCCTCGTACGCCTCGGGTTTCACGAGCAGGATCGACTTTGTTGCATTCAGGAAGTACCCATAATCCGACCCTTTTGCATTCAGGTCATCCCACCATCGCCGTAGCGGGCGAAGGCGGCCGCCAGCTGAAGAATGATCCACGTACCATTCCTGTACCACGTTGGCAGAAGCAACATCAGCGATAAGCGGGGTGACACCCAAGGCATACTACATAGGCATGGCAATGGGGTCACCCTGGGTGGTGCCTTCACACGATAGAATACTTTCTCCGTCGACATAGAGACGAGCGGGAGATCGGTACGTATTAATGACCACTGGGGCCAGTGCCGGGCAGAGATGGCGGATGTTCAGGAGGCAGGCTTTGCGGTTCAACTGGTTGAAGGCGTTGGAGGCGTCCGCAAGGAGCACTCCATCCACGTCCGGATGTGTACGTGGTGTGTACGTGGTGTGTACGTGGTGTGTACGTGGTGTGTACGTCATGTGTACGTGGTGTGTACGTGGTGTGTACGTGGTGTTGGTGCATGTTGTTGTGGTGTGAAAAGCAGTCGTCGTCTTAAGTTCGTCATGTCTAGCTGTGTTTCCGTAGTCGTCTTGTTACTCACAGTCCTTCTAAATGCAGTTATCGTCGTCCCATTGTATTAGTGTGGAGATGACACGGGGCTGGGAGCAGGTGAAGAAAAGTCAGTTACAACACATGAACAGCTGATAGTTTACACTGGGTGAGCATATTAAAGGAGAAGTATACCCTAAAATCAAATTTTCACCAGTTGTAGTCTTCGGGGTGCTGAGTCGAATGGTCTTGTTCCGAGGAAGCTGCGATGCTCCATTCCTCCTTTATTCCCTATCGAACTCGCGCACTTCCACCGAAACTGGGTGACTGCGCCCTACTAGATAGGGATTTGTATGGAAAGTCACTAAAAACGCCATTTCGTTCTTATAAAAGCACAGATGACCGCGATTGGTCCATATGTTGTAGTCCTTTGGCCGCTGAGTCGGCTGGTTTTGGTCCGAAAAGGCTGCGATGCAGCGTTCGGCCCTTATTCCCAATCGAACACGGTTGATTATGCGGTCACGTGCTCATTAAAGCCTGTTTGGGCCCATTTATGTCACTCGAGTTGAACCTTTGAACCAGGGAGTCGTAAAAGCCTCTTACGACTCCCTGCTTTGAACCTTCGAGTTGAACCTTGATGTGAAAATTGTAGCCTGCGGGCGGTGACCAGGCGACTGGTCCGTGACCGCCTACTCAACCGTGTTCGATTGGGAATAAGGGCCGAACGCTGCATCGCAGCCTTTTCGGACCAAAACCAGTCGGCCAAAAGACTACAACATATGGATCAATCGCGGTCATCCGTGCTTTTATAAGAACGAAACAGTGTTTTTAGTGACTTTTTCCATATAAATCCCTATCTAGTAGGGCGCAGTCACCCAGTTTCGGTGGAAGTGTGCGAGTTCGATTGGGAATAAAGGAGGAATGGAGCGTCTCAGCTTCCTCGGACCAAGACCATTCGACTCAGCACCCCGAAGACTTAAACTGGTGAACATTTGATTTTAGGGTATACTTCCCGTTTAAGCAGGGGCGTCGGAAGGTAATTTTGTGTGGCAAGGTCAGCCATCTGAGGTAAAGTTTACCTACTGGGAGGGGTGGCTCTGCTGAAAAATTTTGAAAAATTCTAGTCCAGATCAGTGCTTTTGATTGATGTATGCCCGGGGTGCCTGGGGGCAAAAAGTGGTGCGGTCATTACCGTAGTGACAGTAGCGTGTCCGACGCCCCTGCTACATGTGTGTGAGAGAGAGAGAGAGAGAGAGAGAGAGAGAGAGAGAGAGAGAGAGAGAGAGAGAGAGAGAAGAGAGAGAGAGAGAGAGAGAGAGAGAGAGGGGAGGGAGAGGGAGAGAGGGAGACATGCGTTGGCTGCTGCACTTCCGATCATTCCCTGTATCAATACGTCACGTAGCGGACCACCATGCTGGTTCCAATGCCAGCCAATCCTGATATGAATTCACCACACGACATCATCGGTGGTGGTGGTCATGTTGGGTCAATCCCTGCACCATAGGTTAGGCGATTTTGGTGGCCATATTGGTTCCACTGTCTGCACTTCATGTGCACTCTCTACATTAACACAGTCACAATCATGCCAAGGGGCACACGACCAGCGTGACCAGTGTCCCTTGTCCCCTTGATCAGGATCCCCTGTACCCCTGACCAGGGTCCCTTGTCCCCTTGACCAGGGTCCCTTGTCCCCTTCACCAGGGTCCCTTGTACCCTTGACCAGGGTCCCTTGTCCCCTTGATCAGGATCCCCTGTACCCCTGACCAGGGTCCCTTGTCCCCTTGACCAGGGTCCCTTGTCCCCTTCACCAGGGTCCCTTGTCCCCTTCACCAGGGTCCCTTGTACCCTTGACCAGGGTCCCTTGTCCCCTTGAACAGGGTCCCTTGTACCCTTGACCAGGGTCCCCTGTCCCCTTGACCAGGGTCCCTTGTCCCCTTGACCAGGGTCCCCTGTCCCCTTGACCAGGGTTCCTTGTCCCCTTGACCAGGGTCCCCTGTCCCCTTGACCAGAGTCTTTGTCCCCTTGACCAGGGTCCCCTGTCCCCTTGACCAGAGTCTTTGTCCCCTTGACCAGGGTCCCTTGTCCCCTTGACCAGGGTCCCCTGTCCCCTTGACCAGGGTCCCTTGTCCCCTTGACCATGGTATTTGTCCCCTTGACCAGGGTCCCTTGTCCCCTTGACCAGGCCCCGGTCCCCTTGACCAGGGCCCCGGTCCCCTTGACCAGGGCCCCGGTCCCCTTGACCAGGCCCCTTGACCAGGGTCGCATGACCAAAGTCACATGACCAGTACGTGAACAACAACAACAACAACAACAACAACAACAACAACAACAACAACAACAACAACAACAACAACAACAACAACAACAACAACAACAACAACAACAACAACAACAACAACAACAACAACAACAACAACAACAACAACAATCCCCCATCCAATTCTTCCTCACTCTTTCTCCTTTCTTACACTATTATCTCTTATTGGCCACTGGCTATCGTGAGAATAAAGATTTGAAACAACAACAACAACAACAACAACAGCAGCAGCAACAACAACAACAACAACAACAACAACAACAACAACAACAACAACAACAACAACAACAACAACAACAACAACAACAACAACAACAACAACAACAACAAGCAACTCCTGCAACGACACCAGCACAAAAAGCCGCTGCCCTCAACGAATTCTTCATTTCACAGAGCAAGCTGTCCGTGGCCAATGCGGATGAGCAAACTCCAGCCATCAACACCACCCCTAACATCCTCAGTCCCCTTCAAGAAATCTCGACTTCCCAAGCTGAGGTCGAAAAACTCCTCCGCGGAGTTGATACCAACAAAAGCCCCGGGTTTGACTCTATTCCAAACCGCCTACTCAAAGAAGCGGCTAAGGAACTTGCACCGTCGTTATCGTCCCTCTTTAATCTATCGTTCCAAACCGGAGAAATCCCACAGGAGTGGAAAGATGCCACCATTACTCCAGTACCCAAGCCGGGTGACCCAACCCAACCAACAAATTATAGACCCATCTCTCTCTTGAGCACTACATCAAAAATCCAAGAAAAAATTGCACATCAACTCCTCTACAAGCACATCACACCCCACCTGCCCAACCAGCAGTCCGGATTCCGTGAGAAAGACGGCACTGAGCAGCAACTTGCCCGTCTCGTCCATACCCTCTCCACTGCGAGAGACGACGGGAAACACGTCAATGCCTGCTTTTTCGATCTAAGCAAGGCCTTCGATCGTGTGTGGCATGCAGGCCTTCTAGCAAAACTCTCCCACTATGGTGTCCAGGGCAACGCCCTGGAGTGGTTCCGACGGTACCTCTTGGGGCGTCGGCAAAGGGTCCAGGTGGATGGCGACCTATCGCCTTTCCTCGAGATCCCTGCCGGCGTCCCTCAGGGATCTGTTCTTGGGCCGCTTCTATTCCTCGTCTACACCATAGACCTTCCACACGCATGTGAGCATCCCAGCACCACCTGTAGCCAGTTTGCAGATGACACCGCTCTGATTTCCATAGCGAGAACTCTTCAAGACTGCACCCAAAACCTACAACAGAGTGTCACAGCAGCTGGAGACTGGCTTCAAAGATGGCACCTGCTGGTTAACACAAAGAAAACAGTCATCCTCCCGTTCTACCACAATAACCGCCCCCCTGAACAGCTACCCCAGATCACCCTCAGGAATAGTCCGCTTACCGTAGCACAAAAACACAAACACCTCGGAATAATCTTTCAGCATGACCTCCGTTGGACGGAGCATGTTGAATACATAGTCAAAAAATCACTCAAGTCTTTCAATATTCTTTTTAGACTAAGGTCTACACTCGCCAGAGATTCTTTATCTCACATCTATCAGACATACATGCTACCTATATTCTCATATGCGAGCAATGCTCTCACAACGTTGTCCCACACTTCCCTTGACAGGCTAGAACGACTCCAGCGGAAAGCCGCCAGAATATGTCTCCACCTTCCCCTTTACACACACTTAGAACACTCCCACCTTTTGCATCGCATCAAATGGCCAACATTATTTTCACGCTTTAAAGTTAAACATATACTCTTCGCGCATTCTCTGCGCCACAATTATGCCCCACCACATATACTCTCGCTGCATACTGCTAGCAACGTGCAACCTTCGTATAATTTACGTCGCTCTCGTACTTGGCACTTGCCAACTCCGCGGACTGACCGCTGTCTCCATTCTCCCCTGTACAAGGCCCTTCATTACTTTAATTGCCTGCCCACCCAGCTTCGCGAAATCCCTTCTCGTACTCCCTTCAAATCCGAGATATCCCTGCTGTTGCACAACTCTGTATGCTCGTGTAGCGACCACCCCTCCCCGTACACTTAAGTACGCAACTCTGTATGCTCGTGTGGCGACCACCCCTGCCCGTACACTTAAGTAGTCATTAACCCCTAGGCCCTGCCCACCCAATTCTTCCTCACTCTTTCTCCTTTCTTACACTATTATCTCTTATTGGCCACTGGCTATCGTGAGAATAAAGATTTGAACAACAACAACAACAACAACAACAACAACAACAACTCCCAGATATCCCTGCTGTTGCACAACTCTGTATGCTCGTGTAGCGACCACCCCTGCCCGTACACTTAAGTATGCAACTCTGTATGCTCGTGTGGCGACCACCCCTGCCCGTACACTTAAGTAGTCATTAACCCCTAGGCCCTGCCCACCCAATTCTTCCTCACTCTTTCTCCTTTCTTACACTATTATCTCTTATTGGCCACTGGCTATCGTGAGAATAAAGATTTGAAACAACAACAACAACAACAACAACTAGGCTAAGAGACTCCCCCATCTATGCTTCTCTTCTTTAATAGCATTCCACTCAGCCTCCGGCAAATCAACCCCAGACGAGATTTCAAAGCAAACATCCTACCACTTGTCATCTCTTCCGTATGTACTTGCTCACATTGCTCAGCACATCTATAGCTCCATTGCGCCCAGCCTACGTGATAAACTCCCAATTAGTATTGCCATCGCTACTGCCTCAGCAAGCAGCTAAACTTTGATCTCTCTGTATCTGATCCCCGTGCCTGTAATTATTTTTCTCTTATTGGCCACAGGCCATCGTGAGAATAAAAATTTCAAACAACAACAACAACAACACTATTGGCTATGGCAATGGTGGCGGCTGAGTAGCATTCCTACCTTTGCACTGCGCTGCACTTGCGGCCACATTGCACTGCAGGCCTTGCTCAGAGCAGCGGCATGTGCAGCAGGCGTGCACGCTCTGCTCCACCTTGACGACGGTGTGCTGGGCGAGCGCTTGCAGGAGAGACGCGTTGGGCGCCGCCTGGCTGAAGAAGAAGCGCGACTGCCACAGGGTACCGCCGACCTCGAGAGCGGCAGACGTGTAGTAGCGATACGTCTGGGACTTCTGGATCACGGCCGCCTTGAGCTCTTCGTGCTGGGCTTCACTCCAACGTTTGGCCGAGCCGCACAGGTACGCCTTGCCAGCTGCGTCAACGCCAAACACACACGGCTCTTCGGGAATCGTAATCGTGTTGCTCACAAACACCTCCATGTGCACGGCGGCTCTGCGCAGCATCTTCTTCAGGCAGGAGCGCATCTTCTTCTTCGCCTCTTCGGCTGGCGAGTCGCCAAAGTCCGGCGCGTGGTCCGAGATGAAGAGAAGAATGGGGGCGATGTTCGCGTTCTTGCTGCTATTGGCCTTGCGCAGCCTCAACAACTGCTTTCCAGTGAGATCAGTGATGTTGTTAAAAGCAAATTGAATAGCACCGTATCCGTTGCGCGTTGCTCCGCTATCTCGGCTATCCTTAAGGCCCTGGCAGGCCTCGCTGAAGCCCTGCACGTCGTAAACCTTGTCATCGGCGTTGTTGGTCAGGACCCTTGGCGATTCCGTGCTGCCAAAAGCGACGAGCGTGTAGCGGTTTGGCGCCTTGGGTAGAAGACCGATGCCGCGCTCTTCGAGTGATCGATCGATGGCCGACACCATTTTCACCAGCCGGTCCTTTGGCGAGTTTGCAGGTCCCGTTGACTCGTCGAACACGACAATGATATCGGCGGCTGTTTCGCCGCAGCGTTGCGAGCCATTGTTTGGGTGGGGCTGCTGGGGGAAATTGATTGGTTGTCGTGTTCTGCATTTCGCTGCAGAGAGAAAGCAACGGAAAACAGAAGGGAGCGCAAAATAAATACCATGAGCCCACGCGGTACCATGTCAAGCGTTTCGTCGGCCACCTGGCCATCAAAGGCAATGCACGCCCATTGCGCAATGACGTAGCTTGTACCGTAACCACCCCCATCCCATCTTGTATCTTTATTTGAAAGTCTTGTTACAAGATAAGTCTCGTTTATAAGATAACTTTTTGGACGGCCCAGAGATTATCTACTGACGAGGGACAACCAGCGTACAGTACATGTCATATTATGACTCTAGATGTGTAAAATTTTAACTCGGATACTGAGCCAGTAACAAATGTAAAAAAAGAGAAGAAAACAGATGAGAACGAGTTATGTCAGTTTTTGTGCCCTGTTATCGCACTTTCTGACTGTTTATCATCTTGTTACAGTTGTGGATAGTTACTGCATAACTCGTTCTCATGTGTTTTCTTCTCTCTTTAAAAAAAATCTATGATGTGTGGTCTTTCCTCTCGTATGCACATTGCTTGCAACGGGATCAAGGTCTTTCCCTCTTTTCTTTGATGTACGAGTGTGAATGTCCTCGGAGTCTGAATGTCTGCCCGAATGTGAACGGGGCATGACAGCAACACACGCGTCTTAAGACACTTACAGATGCAGGAGCCACCCGCACTCCAGCGGCCGTTTGAACAGCTGGTGCTGTTGGTGCCGTGAAGGTGAAGGCCGTCGTCACACGTGAACGTGGCCGGAGACACCTGGTGGTCTATTTGCGCATTGGGAATGCTTAGCGCCACTCTGCCAGTACAGCCTGGTGATGCATCTGAGACAGAAAGCAGGAAGAGAGAGAAAAAAGATTTTTTTCACGGTCCACGCGCGACTCGGCTGAAGAAAGAGAGAGAGAAAAAAGGTTAATTATCGTGAACTCACTACGTCAAGAGTATATAACCCCCAAGAGTGTGCTACTCTGCATATAGGGTCTCCGACGGCAAAAAACTCACATCACGTGTCTCAGATGCGTTCGTACAGCGTACAAACGAAGGATAGCGTGCGCGCAATCCGGATTTCTGCCATAATCATGCTGGGGACTTGCATACCCGCAGTGAGTTTCTGCCAGAGAGTGCTTTTTTATTACTCCGCTGCTCGCTAAAAGCGGACTGGAAACGTACAACTGCGACACTGCACCACGTGATGTGAGTTTTCTCCGTCGGCGTACCCCATAGAAAGGGTATCAGGAGTAGCACACTTTTTGGAGGGGGGGGGGGGGTGTTATTATACTCTTGCCGACGCCCGTTAACACCCGGTTAACACTAACGGCAGACGCAGCATTTTGAGCGTAATCCAACCTTAAAGAGAGCGCATGTGCTAGTGTAGGTGGAGTAAGTCCATTGATGAAGTGGCTGAAAGTTGCTGCTCACCCTCGTTGTATAGCACCACCTTTCCGGAAACAGGCATTGCCGGGAATGTGGCAGCATAAGTACAGCAGAGCAGGTGAAGTGCAAGGCAGGTGCAGGGCTGGGCAGGGCAGGCAGGGCAGGCGGGGCAAGTGCAGGGCTGGGCAGGGCAGGCGGGGCAAGGCAGGTGCAGGGCGGGGCAGGTTCAGGGCAGGGCAGGGCAGGCGGGGCAGGGCGGGGCAGGGCAGGGCGGGGCAGGTGCAGTGCAGGGCAGGGCGGAGCAGGGTAGGTGCAGTGCAGTGCTGGGCTGGGCAGGGCGGAGCAGGGTAGGTGCAGTGCAGTGCTGGGCTGGGCAGGGCGGAGCAGGACAGGGCAGGTGCGAGGCAAGGGTGAACAACTCACAACCCTCCGGCTCCCACTAAGATAGTCAGAGAGCGGCCACTGAACACGACAGAAAATTGGGCAACGGCTGTTTAGAAGCAATAACACATTTACTGCCTTGTCGTTGAGCATTTGTGCTCGTTTGGATTTGCGAATTCAAACAACATATACGAACAACCAAGAAGCAACAAGCCCGTATAATATTCTGCACCCGCAATCGAGCTCGCCAACCACATCAGCACATCGTCCCTACTCCCCTTTGTCTTGTTTCATTTTTTCAATTGTCCACTTCCCCTGATTATTAGTAGGGCTGCGTTGGCTAGTAAAAAACGAGAGAGCTTGGAAGCTCAGGGCCCTACGCTATGCTTTTTTGCCTTGATGACTTAGACAAAAAAAAGCATAGGGATGTTATAAATTCTTATAAATTTCTACTTTTTGTTTTAGACATAACCTGGGATTCGAACCCGCACTATCGCCCTGCACGCATCCCCCGATACACTTCGCATTAGGGGTGAAACGATTAAGGGATATTCCTTAACGGTTAATCCAAAACTTATCGATTACTTATCGATTATTATCGATTAAGGGGCCGTCCGTAAATATCGATGTTTTTTTAGAGACGATATTCGTTCGTATGGGGGGAGGGGGTTTTGACGCTGTTCGTTGTTTTTGGCGGAAAAAAATATCGATCTTCACATACGCTATTTTTAGGTATGCACCTGGCTTGTACTTGCTTGTCGCGGCTCGTGCACCATGCAGCATGCAGGCACTTGAACCTTGTGTCTTGTACTACCAAGAGTACATACTCTTGGTAGTACTACTAGTACTGCAGCACGTATTATGTACCTACCTGTACACACAAACCGTTCAATATAAAAAATATCGGTCCACTGCATAAATGTATGGATGTTCGTATTAGGGGGGGGGGGGAGGGGTCTGGGGAGATATGAACAAATATCGTCTCTAAAAAAACATCGATAATTACGGACGGCCCCTAAGCACCACTGACGAAAAACTCACCATTTTGCATCAACTACAATCAATTTTGGAACTTCGAAGAGAACAAAAATAAAGGAAACATCGACCGTCGCACAGGCACAAACTGATTCTGAAGGCTACTTGTCCAGAATAGTGAGTTCCGTGAAGCAACCGGAACGAAAATTCGCGGGTACGAATCAGTGCACGGTGCAGAGAAAAGAGCCGCGTGTCATACAATAGATCTAGAGAGTACATCAGGTAGATCTACCGGGTAGAGTCTACGCGTGTGGTGTGTATCCAGAGCATGAGCAACTCGCTGTGAGCGCTGCATACGCGAATCCACTCGTACTCTGGTACATGTGCTGCACGCAGTAAAGTCATGTAGACACACTGCACATGCCGGATATTTCGTCGTACCGTATAGTATGTCATACGAAAATGCTGTAGCGATTAGAAAAATCGTAATCGACTAGATTTTCTTCGATTAATTTATCGACTAAACCACATAATCCTTTCACCCCTACTTCGCATACATACTTATTCTTCCAAGTTGCTTCACGTTGATCTTGTATTTGAAAGCCCGATTTTAATATGCATTGTGGCCAGCCATCTTTGATTGTACGGTATGGTACGGGACAGTTACGGGACAGGTACGCGACAGGTACGGTAGAGGGTAGCCCCCCCCCCCCCCCCCCCCCGCCTTGATGACGGCAAAAAAAGAATAGGGATGTTATAAATTTTTCAATTCTCCTATTTTTTCATGCATTACCTGGGATTCGAACCCGCACTATCGCCCTACATGCATTCCCCAATACACTTCGCATTCATACTCATTCTTCCAAGTTGCTTCACGTTATGATCCTGCGTTTGAAAGCCCTATTTGAATAGTGCGGCCAGCTGTATGTGGCCAGCTGTGTTTTATGATACGGTACGGTACGGGACAGATACGGGAAAGCGCCAGGCGTGACACAAACACTCAAACACACACATACCAAATTAAAGCTGTGTGGACCCTGGCTAGAGCCAGACGTTACTGAAGTAACGTCTTCTGCATAGCTACGGGAATAAATAGAATCACTTACTAGCAAGGCCAACAGTGGCCACGATGAGAGTGAGAAGTAGTGCCAGGTGGGCAGACATTTTCTTTATTTGCCTGCAGTTGGTAGTTTGTGAAAGGAAACGATACACACACACACACACACACACACACACACACACACACACACACACACACACACACACACGCACACACACACACACACATGCATGCACGTGCACACACACATGAACATGAACACCCACGCACACGCCCGCACACACACACACACACACACACACACACACACGCGCGCGCGCGCACGGGGACAAACAAACAAGTTCATACAGATGGCCAACACTGAGACACAAGTACATTAAAGCACATGCGCATTGACTCACAGAGTCACACACTGCCCACTAGGGTATAGGTACGCTCAGAACCGTGAATAGCCGTTAACGCTGTCCAATCACCTCTCAGTGCCTGGAACCGTGAATAGCCGTTAACGCTGTCCAATCACCTCTCAGTGCCTGGAACCGTGAATAGCCGTTAACGCTGTCCAATCACCTCTCAGTGCCTGGAACATGAAGCTCCACTGTTTCAGTGAAAGCAGTTTGGCGTCTCCTCTACCTTACCTTGTCATAATCTAGATTCGCAACGTAGTACATATACAGTCAACTTGGCTAATAACGACTGCGGATATAACGACAATTCGCGAATAACGACAGAATTTCCATGCCCAGAGCAAAGTCCCATCCCATTGTAATACATATGAGACTTCGGGTATAACGACACTTCGCGAATAAGGACACCTGTTTGACGCCCCACCGAGTGTCGTTATAAGCGAAGTTGACTGTATACTGAGCGAGGTGTCAGCTACGTATACGTCAGGGAAAGTCCCTTGTGCTTTGTTAGCACAGCCGTGCCTGCTTGATTGGATTCAATGATGCGGGTGCAGTCCGCAATGGAACACGCCATGGTGCATCTTGCCAGGAGGCAGAACAGGTGGAGAACATGTCGCTTGAGTTTGAGCTGGTATCGTGCTCAGCACGGAGCATTAGGTACCGGCTTGCCCATAATACGATAGCCAGCCAATGCAGGAGATGCACCCAACCACCCACCCCCCTTCCCGTGGCTGAGCCCTCAAGACCCACCGGCCCACCATCTTTAACGACGGGTACCACTGCTATGCCCGCACTAGCAACACACCGAGGCAAGGATACACAACTTTGCATTACAGACTCAGGGGCGCCGGACACGGTACATTCACTACGCAAATCACCGTAGCACCCCAGCCCCAGGTACTGTAAAAGCTGAAATTTTCCGTGGTGTTTTATTTTCGGTAACTTCGGTGCCGACAATTTTTACCGACATTAAAACGCACCGAAAATTTCGGTACAACCAATTCTGTATACATGTAGTACTAGTACACTTACCTGGAGAACGGGTTTTACCGAAAATTTCCCTCTACCGAACCGCCGATTTTGGAGAATACCGAAAATATTACACCACCGAAAATGTCTGCTTTTCCAGTACCCCGCGAATCGATAAAATACACTGATCTGGGTTCTAAATTCTCAAAATCTTCGCCTCAGCCACCACTCCCCCACGAGTAAATTGTACTTCAGATGGCTGACCGTCCCACACTAAAATACCTTCCGACGCCCCTGAGACTCCATGCCTCACACGTTGAATATGTTGGGTCACATCGTATTCTTTAGAAGCTTATCTCTGGCACACCTTTCATCATTTACATGTATTTTTCCAGTTCTGCACGCTTACAATCATTATGCTCAAGGGCAGAGCTCTGCCCTAGCCCGTGTCTTTATCTCTTTCTTTGCTCACCTATTGCTCATCACTTCTTTTACAGATTTGGTACTATGGAAAGTTGGAAACCCCCTCGATAGGCGAAAGCCTTTGGGGAGTCCTTTAAACTCATGATGCTTCCGCCCTAAAGTACTGAAATTCAGGGCAGTGAACAGCTCAACTGTGTGGACGTCGAGACCTACGACAAAATACACTTGAAACAATAAAAAATACAAATTACACACGTATGATATTCCAACTTCAAATACAACATTCTAGACTAGAACGCTTTTGGTGAGGCGGCCATGCACCCCCCCCCCCCTCTCAAAGGGGACCAACGGCACCCCTGGCGCCCGTTGCTGTTTTTTAAGAACGTTGAAGCTCCATTGCGGCCTCGTCATCTTTCCACTGAACCTCCAACCCGTGCCCTTCCGGGTGAAAATTTGGAAACAGTCGCTATACACGGTGTAGCCGAGGAGTGGTCGTGTGTGACGGGTTAGAGGTGTAGTAAACTGAAGACAATACTGCTGTTGACACCTACACATAAAGTCATTTAAGGCCGATTCATACTTCATGTCGCGTACGGGAAACGCGTCGCGTCGTGAAAAAGTTGATCCGAGCTCAACTATTTCGCGTAAGGGAAACCCATCGCGCGACGGTCGCGCGATGGGTTTCCCGTACGCGAGATGAAGTATGAATCAGGCTTTAAAAGGCTGTCCAACCGTCCTGCTTTGAGCAGGGCAGTCATGCTTTGGACCATAAACATTTGTATACATTTACATGGGACACACTTGCCCTTGTATACAACGCTCCTACGGGCATCTCCTAACGTCACTGGCCTGATGAGTAACCTAGCTAACGGGATTCAAAGAGTTATTTCCTGGATGTCGTCTTGGCGGTTATCGCCCAATCTGTCTAAAACTAAAATCATGCTCTTTCCTTCTCAGCCCGATGTTCCGCCCCTCCTCCATCCCACTTTCCCCCAGCCTATAGACATACCGTAAAAGTCCGTAAATAAGTACCTGCCCGAAAGAAATACCCCCTTCATTCTTTTGGCTCTGTCTGTTGAAGTCAAGTCAAGTCCGATAAACATACTGCCCGAAATAAGTACCGGTACGGTGCGCACATGCAGCACGTAGCATGTACATCTACATCAAAATGACTTCTCCACTACACACAAGTCAGGTCCGAAAGTTTGTTCGTGCCGAAAGTCAGTACTCGCCCGAAAGTTAGTACGGGTGTGGTCACTAAATTCGAAAGTAAATACGTATTTATTTACGGACTTTTACGGTAGTCTCCAGCCATAAGCATCTTGGCATTTTCATTGACTCTAATCTTTCATGGGAACCCCACATCGATTACATATGTAAACGATCAAGTTCATCTTGAGGAATTCTCTCTTCTCACTGTTACCATCTCCCAATCTCTTGTAAACTCCTCTTTTACTCAGCTTACTTACGCCCCATTTTTGATTATGCAGATACTGCTTGGGCTAGAATTTCCACAACCCGTGCTGCCAAGCTTGAGATTCAACACAAAAAAGTCCTCAAAATCCTCCTCCGAAAACCCCGCATGCTTCCATCTTCCACCCTTTATGCCCTTGCTGACACTTCCCCTTTGTCTAAGAGACGTAATTCACATCTTGTCACCCTTATCCATTCTCTCAAACTCAATCTGTGTCCACCTCACCTCCACTGTTTCAACTGGTTCTCTTCCCGTAGCACGAGAAACTCCCTTTCCCTTCCGAAACCTAAGTCCTCCTTTCTACTTCACTCTCCCTTTTTTATTGCGTACTCTGCGTGGCTGGCACTTCCCCAAGAAGCTAAGGACCTTTCTTCCCTCCGCCTTTTTAAGAGCCTTGTCGCGCCTTGATTTTGATTTTGTGTTTCTGATTTGGTTGCAATCACTGCTTATCCATGCCGGTTCCTTTTTCTTCTCCTCCCCTTCTCCCTGCCTTGCCGTGGTTGGCTAACACCCTCTCTCTTTGTATTGGCCGGTGTTCTCACTGTGCTATGAGATGCTGTAATAAATAAATAAATAAATAAAATAAATAAATATACATTACACCAAAGCTCTAGCCAAACAGAGTAGGGGGGGGGGGGAGGAGGAGGGGGGGGGGGCAGTGCCCCCCCCCCCCTACTCTGTTTGCGCATCCCCTGTGACAAAGTGCCGCCACCCTACTCATTTTCCGATTTTCGACATTTTTGTGTATTTTCATGCCGTTCAACGAAAATGCAGTCGATAGTCAGTACTAGAGGGTTCATCATAAAGGCACATTTGTCTGGGGTGAAGTCAGGTGTTCTGCCCGTACGTTGCATTTCGCATTGCACGACAGTTAAGCTGTGTTCACAACTGGCGCATGTTCGCGTGAAATCACGCGTTTGTGCGTATTTTTGCTGGCTTCTGGGGCGCCATGCGTACGAAATGCGCCGAAATGGAAATTCCAACATGTTGGAATTTTCAGCGCGTATCAGGCGCGTACCAGTGTACATGCCAGTCACATTGACTGGCGGGGTCAAAAAATTAGTACTCGAAGGTGTCGGACGCGCTAAATACGACTCGGATTGCTGTTTTTTGTGAAAGGCTGAGCGCGCGTTTGGGCACCCATGAACCGCAAGCGTACCGCGTCCCGCGTCCACACGCCAGTTGTGAACACGGCTTTAGTTTGCAAATAGAAGAAAATGGGGCTCAGGGTAACTGTTTTCCCGCTGCGCATTCCAAACAGGGGCATGATGCGAGAACCCGGGCCTCTTTTCACACCGCATAGGACTAGCTACCGGCGGATTCTGCTCGAAAAGGTAGTAAAATTGGCAGAACCATACAAACCTTATGGCGGGCAATTCCTCGAATTCTGCTCCATTTCTTTATCCACATACCAAACACGCATGAAACTTACCAGAAAAAGTACCGAATTCTGCCAATTTTTCTGCCGGCATAATCCGCCGGTGCCTACATAGGACACATTTCCGTTCCACTATTCTTTTTAGCTTGACCGCTGTTTTACGAGAATCGACGACGCCTGTAACCCCAACAAATAACGCCTCCGCACTGATTGCAGACAGTTCCAGTATTGCGCGCAGCAGTACGCCAGTAAACCGCGGTCACCCGCAGCCTGGAACTGAACGCTGCTCCAGACACTTTGCCAAGGCCAGAGTGAGCAGTCTTGATGGCCCAACTGCATGCAGCAAGCCAGGCGCCGGACCGTTGTTGTTATTCGCTTGTGTGTGTGTGTGTGTGTGTGTGTGTGTGTGCGCGCGCGCGCGCGCGCGCATGTGCGTGTGTGTGCGTGTGCGCGCGCGCGCGCGCGCGCGCGCGTGTGTGTGTGTGTGTGTGTGTGTGTGTGTGTGTGTGTGTGTGTGTGTGTGTGTGTGTGTGTGTGTGTGTGTGTGTGTGTGTGATGATTTGTATTTATGGATTCTTCTCAGGCCTTAGCCTGACTCGAGGAAGTCTCCGTCAACAGCTTTAATGAAGAAGAAGACTGCTGAGGTTTGATGCTCTCCAACACACACAAGCAGACACACGGCCACATTAGAACCCAGTAGACCAACGTCACTGACACGTAGGCTACTCAATACATGCAAGGAACTACAACAATAATAATAATAATAATAATAATAATAATAATGCTAGCCAGATCATCCCGCGATAAAGCACCCAGTTCAAGGCTACGGTTTAAAGTTAATTAAACCTAACAGCTGCCGCTATCATTTACACGGCAATGCAGTATATAACGATACGACAACGTGGCCTGCTGAGGCTGCTATCTAGCATCTAGTAAGGACTGACTCTGTTAAGGTACGTACCTCTTCTATCTGGACGGCGCGTCCGGAACCTGACGGGAAGACAGCAATGATCCTGGTTAAGTTTGGTGTGTGGCGATACGTACGAGGTGGACAAGGAAGATGGAAATATACAGCTACTTGGACGTCGTCCTTCCTCAATCTGATTACGGCCACGGCTTGTCGGCCCGATATCACACGACACCGCGCCGCGCCTCCATTGCATGCCCACAAGCGATGCAGTGCAGCAGCAGCTGCGGTCCCGTCTTGCCCTCCTGTCCTTATTTGCAGGTGGGCCGGCACTCAATTGTTTCGTTTCGGTACGCGACCTGCAGTGGGAGGGCTCCTGCCTCAGCTGTTTGTGTACGCGGAATACCGTTAGGGACGTGGCTATCGGCGAGGGAGGAGGCGTAGACCAGTCTACGGGTCTATCTTCCTACATTGGGCACGCCCTCGGGTATCCATGAGGAATCCGTGTCGTCCATATTGCATCCACTGGCCACATTTGCGGTGATCAGAACTGCACAAAGGACCAAAAGCAGGTCAAATTGATCCCGAAAGGGTTGACTGGGTTCGAAACGAGATGATCCATGACCCGATTTGGAGCGACCCCGGCCCGTAGATCTACCCCGGCCCGTAGATCTACCCGTGGAGTCTTGCTAAAGAAGTAAAATGCAACAGCGCTGGCAACTGAAGTCCGACCCCTAGCCCTGGAGCGGTGCACTCACAAGTCATTATAGCAATAAAAACTGCTTTATGGCAGTTTTCTAAAAAAGGTTTTTGTGTTCTAGTCCATGGACCCCGTCTAAAAAGTAAGAAATTAACGAAATGTGATAGCTGAAAATTAAAATTTCACACAAAACCTCACAATAATCACACACAGAATGAAAAGCTACATGCAGAAGACCTTTTCCCCTCGTGATCCTCTTTCCTATGCATGCATGTTGCCAATTGTTGGTGCAGTACAAGTTTAGTGTTGAAAGCAGCATTTCAAGTGTTGTGATTATTGTGAGGTTTTGTGTGAAATTTTAATTTTCAGCTATCACATTTCGTTAATTTCTTACTTTTTAGACGGGGTCCATGGACTAGAACACAATAACCTTTTTTAGAAAACTGCCATAAAGCAGTTTTTATTGCTATAATTTCTTTTGTTTTTTCTGTCACCAATCAATGGAATTCCCTATATCAATATGTAAATGATGGCCTTCACATCATATCAATACCATATTATACGCATTGATGTGCAAGCCTTTTCTTGCAGAAAATGGCACTAGCATAATGCATGTTCTTCTGCGGGGAAACATGTGAGCAGTGGTGGTGATACTTTTTTTATACGGAGGTCATTCTGTGCATGTTGCTGTTGCAGAATTTCATGACTCTGTCATAAAATTGTCTTGCCTTTCAGATATTTCAGATTTCTCCACCCTCAATCAGATTTACTTGAGAAATGTAGCCATGCGCCAGGTGCGTGTCGCAGATGTTTTTGTTGATTCTGTGTTTATAATGGTTTATAGTCATGGGTTATCGTGATAAGGTCATCCAGCATCATATTGAAACTGAAATCGTAATCCTGTTGATGTCGATACAACTTTTGGAAGTAGTTCAATGACTTCAAACTGTTAGTCCACGATTGTCTAAAACAACACAGCAAAGGAGGAACAATAAACATGTATTAAAATGTAAACGAATACATTGCTGAGTCCAAAACCTCGTTCCAACAACTACACTGATCCTGAGGAGAAAAGGGGCAAGGCTATGGTTGGAGGTACTGAGAGATAAACAAGGCACTAAACAATGATAAAATCTTACATATCTTTTGGTGAGTATGAATGATATCCAGTCGAACCTCTTTAGGACGAACACCAAGGGACCGATGGTATTTATTCTGTGAGTTTGTCTTAACCTATTTTATAACCAGTGAATACAATTATTTCTCCAATAGACATACGAATAGATTTCTTCTACAGCGAAAGATTCTAAGCCACACCGACTCATTGACTCGTCTCGTATGAAACAATTGAGTCACTAGAGAGATTCTGCAAAACGAAAATGCGTACAAACTTTCGCTCTACATCATGAAGTGCGAAACTCCGCACCTTTGGACGCGAAACTTGCAGGGAACGCGAAATGAACTGTCGTAGGAAATTTCGTGAGATCGGGTCATGGCGTACGTGCACTTGGCCCGCGCAAACGAGATTTTCACGAGACGGGACTGCACCCATTGGCTTGTTTCGTATGAAACAAACAAGTTACTGAACCTCTCCACAATAGAGATTTCCCCTGATATGCGAATTTATTTTTCAAACTCGGTCAATTGGTACTTGAACCTTTCCCTCCAGATTGGGAACTGCCAACGATAGTATGCCACTGACCAGTGCCTTACTTGTAACGTACCAATGTACAATGAATATGAGTATTTCGACAACACATCTAACATAAGCCTTACCGTCAAGAAGTTGAACTCGCGTTCTTCGCACACTGTAGACAAGGGCAAAGAGATAAAAATGGATCTAAATCCGAATAAAATCAGCACACGTTTCCGTAAATGAAAGGTGAACATAAGCAAATGAATCGAAGGAAACCGGTAAACTTAGAGATCACCTGTCATCGAGTATTCCGTAAAAGGAGGCCTCGCAGCTCGGCAGCAGAAAAGCAAAATTTAGAAAAGAGATCCTGTCAACTTTTCCATTATTTATTGCATTCCGCCCCAAAATCAGCACACTTTTCCTGAATGAAAGAGTCAACACAAGCAAATGAATCAAAGGCAACTGGTCAACTCACCTGTCATTGAGTAATATTCCGCGAAAGGAGGTCTCAGCAGCGCCGAAACGAAATAAGCCAGGCCATGAGACGAAATATCCGAAACAGCTCATGCAAGAAGCAGTTCCAAAGAAGGAAGTTCCTCGCGCATGCACATCCCAACACGGATCTGCGGACTCCATGCATGTGCACTGAACACAATGTATGCCGTGCACGTGCACAGCACACGGCTACCACGCGTTGGTAGATCTAATACCGAGCACGTTACGTAGAGACTTACGTAGCCTAAGTGAAATACCGAGCACCTTACGTAGAAACTTACGTAGCATAGCGATGTCGTTTTTTCTGCCATGTGAACACAATAATAGAAAAGCTGACAGGATCGCTTTTCTAAATCATCGCGAAGACCCAGCACTTTGTACAGGTACAATTACTAGAAGTCAGCCTATTAATAATATTATTATGCAAGCCTTGCCTGATAGGTGCCAATGTGTTTTCACGGCGACAGCGTGAACAAGGCGAGAGGACGCACTGTATGGGGGGAAGGCACTGTTTCCCATACAGTGCGTCCTCTGTCGCCGTGAAAAATAGAAGGCAGCCTGCGCGTTCAGCGTTGATCATGATCTTGATCATTGTTATTATCAAGAGGGTGTTAAGGACTCTTGTTATTATTAATATTAAATTTTGAATCGGGCAATCCCTACAGCTACAGGCCTACGGCCTTCTTACAGGGTAGATCATTCGACCCTGTGTGAATACGAAGAGCGTGACAAAACTGCAAATAAGAGGAGCAAGAGCGAATATCAGCTGGGTGATCATGCCACCGTACTGCCTACTGCAGGGCTACTGGGCGCACATCTCCGGAAATGAACAGCACCTTGTATTTGAGGATTTCCCAAAGCCATCATAGTTACGTAGTGTGAAGAAGAGGTTGGTGCGACTTCGGCGATAGTAGGGGAAGAGTGTGTTGCTCCCTACATGGGAGCTCGCGGTTTTCTCTGGATGGCAGTCGTGAGTCAGTCAAGTGAGAATTCAAGTCGGCAGGAAAACCACGAGCTCCCATGTAGGGAGCAACACACTCTTCCCCATCAATGCATCATAGTAGTATTGTGTTTGTATTTAAAAAAAAGAAAAAGTATTTGTATTTGATAACCGCAATCAGTAATTCTTATTTCCCTTTACAGGTCTACTCTCCATATAACGTAATCTCTGGGACCACGCAAACATTATGTTATATCGAGAGTTATGTTATGTAGAAAACCGTGTGTAAAATACAAGATGCACCTCAAAATGAAGGGTATTACAAGGCGGGTTCAATCGTGCAAACATATACACACTGTACCACCATCGACATCAGATACATGTACCATCAATGCCGCAGAATATAATGCACATAGGACTAAACTGGCTAGCTACGGCTACAGCTTGATTGTGCCGTGCACCTGAATCTACGTTGTATTGAGAGTGTACACGTCGGGGACTGCGCCGTAGGGTGCGTTATGCCGAGGTTTACGTTATGTAGAACTAAACTGGCCTAAACTGCCTAGCTACAGCTACCGCTTGATCATACCGTGCACGTGAATTTATGTTGTATCGAGAGTGCGCACGTCGGGGACCGCCGTAGCGTGTGTTATGTCGAGGTTTATGTTATGTAGGATTATGTTGTGTAGAACAAAATTTGTATGGAAGTGATGCTGTTTCGGCGCGGGATTTGGCTTTTTTATGTACTAACGAGGTTTATGTACAAGTGAGAGTTGTTATATCGAGAGCAGACCTGTATAAGGAAAAATTGGAGGCGTATCCAATTTCGAAAGAAAAGGTGTCAGCACCGACGCAATCCACACACTCAAGTACTGTAGAACGGGTACTTTTAGCGACGTAAAAACCCTAGCGAATTTAGCGATTGACTTCTTTTCGCTAAAGTTTAAAGTCGCTAATCCGTTGAGATCTTAGTACCGTAGGGCGTAGTGCAGCAGCAGCAGCAGCAGCAGCAGCAGTAGCAGCACTATCAGCATCACCATCAGCACCACCAGCAGGAGCAGCACTCCAGCAGCACTATCAGCAGCTGATCACCACCGTGACCACCAGCAGCACCACTGAGCACCACCAGAACTGAGAGCAGCACCAGCAGCATCACCAGCACCACCACCAGCACCAGCACCACCACCAGCAGCAGCTGATCACCACCGTGACCAGCAGCACCACTGAGCACCACCAGAACTGAGAGCAGCACCAGCACCAGCACCAGCTCCAGCAGCACCACCAGCACCACCAGCACCACCAGCAGCACCAGCAGCAGCACCGCTACCTCTACCGGAGCTATTCCCACCTGCACCTCATCGCCCTACCCTGTGACTGTCATCACCCCCAATTCCCCCCCCCCCCCCCCCATAACTCATGCCAACAAC